TTCCAATGCATAGTTGCCCCCTTCGCATCCCATAATGTATTGAAACAATACAATTCAAGATGGCCGCCGTATCGTTGAAAAGGTCTATTGACTTCCATCCTTAGAAATCAATAATATGTTCCCCCATTTCAAGATCCTGCTGACATCTGTCACTGATTAATCTTTAGAAAAAATTGATCTGAACCGGCCGCCTCACGATTTAGAAATTCAATTCGCATGCGCTGACCATATTTAAACCTTGGCTACTCACGTCATTAGGGCAACCGAGGAAGCCATTTTAGTGCGCATGAGGTTGCAGCACGCGTTACTCGATGTGTGCCTGATATTCTATGTAACTTCAACGAAAAACTATTTGGACCTCTTGCCCTATACCCTGCGTTACTTGGCGGTCTGCGGTTTTTGTTGTTGTTGTTGAGAGGGGGAGTTCAGGTTGATTGAGGTAGACCGCACAACGTCAAGTAACGCAGGCTCTGAGGAGTACAAGACGTATTTTTTGATATGCTGTCAAAGTTATAGGTGGACAATCCGCCAGCTCGACTAAAATAAATACGGAAAAAGGATACTCATATTGGCTAGGGAGTAACTGATCTTTATGGCTAGATAGCAAAAAAATTAATTGACTAAACTAATGCAGTCATTCACCTTTTGTGTTCGTGCTGTCGCGCATAGCCATCAAGGCCATCAACAAGGCGCATTTAATACAGACGTTTAATCACTATTATTTCTTTACTGTCTTCTTTGCTGGCTCTATGAACTATTAAATTCATTCCCCATGCCAAGCTTGTAGGGCCAGATGCTATAAGAAAATATCTTTTTAGCTTCGTATTGCATGCTTGAGGCGATTTTCTCGATAATTGTGATAACGAGGTCACGAGAAACACGTTTGACAGGACACGTAATTTTAGCTAGAACACATGAAAGTTTCATTTTATGATTAATATAATCCATAAAGTAGTTTATCCGGCGTCGTGTAGGTCACATTTGCATTGCATGTATTTTTTAAACATACCCTTTTAGCAAGACATCGCTTGCCCTCTTTCAGATGTCGCTGTATAAAACATACTCTCATGTATTCATTTAACTTATTTTTTTAATTTCCTGTTGAAAATAAGATTCTTATTCTTATTCTTGATGTTTGTTGATGTATCTTTTTAAATTTAGTGGTGGGCAAAGAAATAATACTCAAGTGAATGGCAGGTGGTCTTCAATAGGAAAACAATAAAGCATAACGAGTTTGACTTTTCTACTCTGTCAAGTACTTATTATTGAACTCAACTCATTCAGTTTGCTCAGTGTCGCAATTAAAAACAATTTGGAGACAAATTTCACTGACATCTCTCGCAATTAATGTCTTTTTGATTTTAACTCAAGAAGGGACAAGAAAGAAATAATGCTCAAGGGAATGTCATGTTAAGATATCGCAACAAACAGAATCAACAAGTCATATTTAGCTTTCTATTGATGATTTTCTCCTAATCAATGCAGTTATATCTCCAAATTCTCCATATCTTTTATTAGGATTATCTACAATTTGCTAAGGATTAAAACTGGGTTATCAAAACAACACATACGTAGGTATCTCGCGGTGTGAGAAGTCATAAACCACGCGCTGAGAGAACACAGACCCCGCCGTTCGTTACACCATAGCGACAAATGGGGCGTTAAAACTCGTATCTAGTATAGCAAAAAGGTCGCCCTTTCATGCTGTCAAAGTTACTCGCTGTAATTGGGATTCCGTCAAATTTCTCATTCTTGTCGTCTTCAGTTAGATATCATTTTACATCTCTAAATGTGGTCTCCTGAAGTGTTCGCTTGATTTCTTTTTAAAGCTACACGGGTCTTAGTGCCTCTCGTGAGGGTGTCATTTTGGCTGGAGATTAAAGGTATTGATTGAGAGTCAGGCCCATTACAAATACGAAGTAGAGGTAGGTCTTTGCTCTTAGTCTTTCATTGACCGAAATGTACGATAACTTAGGTAATAATAGTGTGAAACGGGTTGTATGTTCTGTGATGTGCACATGTTTTGAGGATCGAGGATATCATTTCCTAACGTGACTTCCAATAATCATTTCTACATCTATACATGTCACTCATGCATACTCTAGCCTGCGTTTCTGTGTTCGAACATCTATATAGACTCATGTACAACGTACGTTCCTAGCTCGTGGCAAAATTAGAACTCAAGAAAAAACATCAATTATATGAAATCGATAAGTCCGTCGGAGCTCTGGGATCGATAGACGAGACTCCAAAAACTTCGGCTGTGGTTTGGTCAGTAAATCAGCGAGTTCACGGTTCATGCTGAGGGGAGCAGGATAGAAAAGGGTTGCGTGCTGTGAGTCTATCAACTGATCTTCAGAATATTTAATAGCTCAGCAAAGCAGCTTTGATTGTACACTACAGGAAGAAAACAATCTAACATTTTATTGGATACTTATGCGACATGCTATGCAGCCGAATCTACGGAATTATCAGCCAGACAAGAGGAAGCGGTGTGAAGGATGAAGTTTGTGTTTAGTAAAGACTCATTTTCAAAAGGTGCGACGAAGGCTAGAGTATCGGGCGTCGTGTAGTACATGTTTGGTTGTGCGGTAAAGGTGATTAAAAATATTAGCAAAAATAGCGTCAGATTTGAACGAAATAAGAAGCAGATTGCGCCAAAAAGATAAGAAAACCAAACAATGTATAAATATAAGGTAAAAATAAGAAAGAACCGAGATAAAATGCGGTTTTAATTTTTGATATTGAAGAAGATATAGTGTTTAATTATGTAGATTGTCAATCAAATCATTTTCATCATTACACGTTTCTATTCAACAAGGATCAAGTTGTCACGCCTATTACTGCAGCACAATAATTAGAAAGACTGAGTTGTTGGTATTGCGATCTAAATTTTGGATTATCGATTTATATGAGAAAATGAATAGATTAAGATTGCGCATGCGTTTTGCTATGCTCTTGGAAGACTGCTATTATATCAATTAACAAATCGAATCGATATGCAGCTATTTAGGAAAAAAAAACTTTGTCTGCACGTTTTTCGGGTATGTTTTCTTCTGTGCAGACGTTACTTACTAAGGTTGTAACACATTTCGAGCTGCAGCAAAGCCTTCTAATAATAGCCGTATATCTCCACTACTCGCAAGCGATCCGAAAAGAAAATAAAGAAGAAAAAAAAAGAAGAATAGGAAGGCATAAGGAATAAAGAAAAAAGATTTTTTAAAGTTTTCATATGACGACGTTTCATACGACGATATTAAAGACATTTATATGACGTCATCACTATGTTGATCACGGTTTCAGTAATACGTCACTCTTTATATATTCTTTTATTATTATTTTGAAATTATGCTCTCCGACAATGCTCTTTTCATCGGCAAGGATTGGAATAATAATTTTTAAAACATGTCAGCAGTCGTCCACAGTAGATTTATATGACTCATTAACAATCTCAAGAAAGCATATTGGAAGCAATGTTGGTAGCATTAATGGCGAGGATATCTGCTGACCTCCTGTATTGCGACCCGATAATTGAAAAAAAAAATCAGATCTGGCTTTATTTTATTCAACGATGCAGGCAGGCGTCATGCCCCGCCTCCCCCACCCCCTCTCCCTGGGGAATAAACAGGTAGCATTATGATCTTTGACGTCATTATCATCAGTGAATTAAGTCACACTTGCGCACACGGCAAAGGATTCGTAACCCTTACGTGTTTAATACCGAATCACGGAACGTTGGAAACCAGTTTCGTCAGATATTCACGTTCAACATAGCACGTGAAAGATGCGACAATAACTCATGAAATGAAAGCTGTGTTAATGACAAATATCCTGCATTCTCTAGTGACAAGTTTCCGGGTTTAACGAGTTTAAGGGACAGTGAAAAACGACAACATTTTCAGGTAAAATTGCATTAATTAATTAATTCTTTCTTTCTTGCAATCTTGAAGCTTTTCTTTCTATTTCTTTTTTTTTTTTTCTTTTCTTCTCTTTTCCTTTTCGGCTTCCTCTCCTTCGGTACGTTAGTGTACATTGGAATTAGGATCTCTACGAGTTGTCTCTATGAACGAGTTGAGTTAAATTTTTAGCCCCATTTTTATGAAATGGGACAGTACTGACAATTATCTCACTTTTTTATAAAGACAGTAAGTAATCGTAAAAAAGAAAAAATATCCACTAGTAAATGTTACATTTCTTAAAAAGTACTAAAACAATTTTTTTGGTTCGATACATTTTTTTTTATGGTGATCAAACCGGCTTTGAATTGTTTCTGGCGTGATTTCTGAGCGCGCGTTAATTATTTCATATAGTACTGTGGCATACATCAGATTCATTCACGTGATTTTGCGTGACTTTGAGTTTACTGTACAATTTATCTTATATTATCTTTATAACTTCAGCAATGAAGACTTTAACATGTGAATTTATTCAGTCAGAGGAGTATAGTTTAACTCGTAGCTTATTTGAGATTTCAGGAGTTAAAGACGACTAACTATATTTTCTATTTCATCATTATCATGCATTTCATTTCGTTAAATACAGCTTTTCTACTAATGTAAACATGCACTGAAGTCAATATGAATAAAGACTAAAATATTATGCACAGAATAAATGATTTTATCCCGGCGATCGTCTTGCTCGCAGAGTAAGTGAACAATGGCGAGGCGAGACTATCTTTCTTCTTCCCCTGTAGTTTTATTTTATTTACAATCTAAAGGCGTCATTACGACGTAGATAGCATTTAAATCATTTGATTCCAACGTCACTCATGAATTTCAAACTTTCCGGCCAAGATAAGTCACTCCACCTCGACTTTAGACTCTATGAATCAATATTTTAAAAACAGAATGTGGTCTTGAGACCTACACATTGCACTTCAATAGAGAAACACTTTGAGTTTTATTTCATTAAACAACTCATTTCTACAGCTCACTATGGTTCCTTTGGCCGGTTAATTAGATTTAACTTACTTTAATATCCGGTATCTAGTCAAAAAGATAGGCAAGAAACAAAAGAGAGCCTGTCGGAAAAGCTACTAAATAAGTTAAGTGAGAAAAACAAGACGTAAATAGTCTTCGGAGTATTCGTTTTTACGGGCAGCTGTTTGAAGTGAATAAGGTCGCTTCTGCATTCGCCCATTCATCTTCTCAATCCGCTTACGTGAACAGCCAACAAAAGATCCTTGATGCCAAGAATTTAGGTAGAAAACTAATGATAACGAAAGTTTCATTGACGGGAGGATTAAGTAGTGTTTTTTTATACTTTTTAGCAGGTTGCACTGGCCATGTTTATCGATGGCGTAATCCTTCCTAATGCTAATGTTACGCCATTTTTGACTTGAATGTCTTCCAACGGAACGTGTGGTTTAATATTGGATTGCACTTGAAATTTTGAGACTTTCGCCGCCATTTGTGTACTAGTATATTTATCATCGCTTCTCTTGGAGTATTTTATCAGTACTATTCTTATCTCTGCGCGTCAAAATGTGTGGAACAGCTTCTCAATTAAGGTAAGACGCATGCGCAGATGAAATAGTCAAAATTGATGTTTGCTTTTCGATGAAGCCATGAAAAAAGGACTTAAATGCTCTTCAATTCGTGCTTCCTGTAGAATAAAGAAATCAATTGACTTTAGAGTTTGATTCCTAGATCTAAAAAATCGTGATTTTGGTCTAATTTTTCCGTGGTTTTCGCTGTGAATCCCTGTCATTTGTGAACAAGATTTCAATTACATCTTGTAAACAAAGATCAGACTTGGCATCAAATATTGACCTGAAATAAATGCAGATTACAGTTGAAATCCTTTCTACATAAAGCTCGGTGTAAATGATGCAATTTCCTTGGATTTAACAGGAAGAAAAATCTGGAACGAATTAGAGGTAATACATTGTTTTTTCAATTGGTATAAACATATTGCAGGCTTTATACAAGCTTACAATCCTTCGTGGGACTATGGTTAATATGGTCAAGACAAATAAAAAGAGGTTATCTGATAAATGTTGGTACTAAGCGAAAATCTGATATTATCTCTAACCTCCATTAAAATAATTTTTTGGGGGGATTTCATGGATTTTATACGAAAGTCCTTCCATGCTCTAAGTTATTCGTCGATATCGAGGCCTTGTGTATAGTGATAAACTGCAAGAATATATATTTCTACTTCCAAAAGCCTTTGGAATGTCTTCCATGAATGAAACCTACCAAGAGTTACACCGTAACAGTCCTCTCTCTGTTAAATTCTAAGATTGGATTTCGTACGCAGATTTCTAAGCATATCAATAAAGTTTGATCAATAACATTTAGTTTTCTTGTAGAATTTTCGTATAAACAACTTCTGTGCATTGTAAATCCAGTTTGCTTTGATTCATAGAAAACTGCTCAACTTTATTGTCTTCGCTAACGAGATCCTCTTATGAGCAAAATAGTTAAGTGAATAAAAAATTCGGAACTTTTGAGTTCGATAAAAAAATTGATATCTAGTAATTAGAGCCTGCGAGTCTAATATAAAGAAAATTAAGTTCAATTATCAAATTGAAAGGACAACGAAATGAAAACATCGAAAAATCAATCCTAATTTACTGAAGCAACATGGCAACAATGTAGAGGAATCGAAAAGAAAAGTGCTTCAGGCTATAATTGATATGGTTTAGTTGTTATAAACTTGCTGGAATATATTCCAAAGTAACTGGATTAGTTTCCGTACTTCTCAGCATGACGTGGCTCGGTTTATTCTATCTCTAACTGAAAAATATCAAGAAGATTGTCGAAAATATGATTACCCTAGACTATTCTAGACTATGTAGAATTCAAATTAAGTCAAAGAAGGGTCAATATTCGACTTTGATTCAAATGTTACAGGGAAAGTTATTTCTTGCATAATGTAAACTTTTCAGATATCATGACAAACACTTTGGTCTAATTGATTGTATTTTCAAAGACCACCTAGGGATGTTTAATTTAATACATATTTATTGATAGTCCATCCTATTTGTTTTGCGTTGCAAATTCGGATCTAATTGAAGGAGGGTCGTCTGAGTTTTATATTCACGGTAGAAAATCCTCTTAACAGCACCACCTTGGATTAAGTCGATTCGACACGAAGTCCATTTTCAGGTATTCATATTCATAGCTCTTCTGTAGTTTAGTGGGCTCCAAGTAATATTCTTTTTTGAATAACGTTTTTCTAATTCAAACATAATTTTCTGTTTATTGAATTCGAAGGTTACATGTGCATGCTTTTGAACAAGAATTTTAGTGCTCAATTCGACGGTTAACTAGGCAAAAGTTGTCAGTGAAAATTTCGCTTAATTATCTCATTTATAATAAGCAATTTCAACTATATTGATAATCTCTAGTTTGAATATCAAAACTGAGACGAAATATCGTTTTTATTTTTAAATTTGGTTCAGGTTTCTTCTTTTTTCTTTGGCAACTGGAACTTACGTTTCGTTACGAAGAAAAGAGTGGCCGGTAATGTTTTGAACGACGGCCATGCACAACGTGAACGGCTCGCTGTCAAACTAGTAGTCTTCCGTTTGCAATAAAGCTTAAATACACAATTCATTTTTTATTGTTCTGTTTAAACGGAATTCCCACATAGAGCCTAACACGCGAGCTTAGTTCCTTTTGAACTACGGACACAGCAGGAATGAACTGAGTGAAACGTGTTGGACAAGAATTGTTTATTGACGGAGGGAAACCGTAATTGGAAAAAGGCGCCAAAAATAAAAAAATAAGCTAAAACCCTACAAAAACCTAATTGTATCAAGCAATAAAAGATAGGGTTTGTAAATCTTTGCACAATTAGTAATTGAATAAATTAGTAAAATGAGTTCATTTACATATGATTATTATTGTTCAGTTTAGTAGGTTCGGTTACGTCTCTTTTTGCAAGTTGCTCAGCGAAACCTATAAAATGCAACTGATAAACTTCAAAAGAATTTACTTAGGTCAAAATTTTGCGCTTTATAAGGTAGAAGTATAACTTCTTCAGTTCTTTTTTGTTTCGAAACAGCTTTGAGACCTTTTCATCTTTTATTATTAAAAGAAGACTAATTAAGGGTCTTCAGTGAATTGTTCACCGGCTGAGAGGTAACGGTACGAAGATATTTAAAACCCCTTGACTTTGGAACAAAACTCACTCTTGAAACTCGTGCTAGTACAGCTAAAAAGTATGCAAAGTTTTGCTGCTGCATTTTCTCTTTTGCATTTTTTATCGAATATTTTGAAAACTAATTTAAGATGTAAGAGAAAAGCCAGGAAAAAGTACCAAAATATGGTGAAATTCAGATTTCAAGGGCGGCAAACGGGCAAGATTTTCAAGGTCATTGCATAATTGGCTTTTTGTACGATTTCCTTTTCATTTTTAGATAGAAGAACATGTTTTTGTTGTGCACAGGAAAGCGTTAGGGAAAAGTGTTAAGATATATGTGCTAATAAGACGCAAGATGGAGGAAAACAAAGGCAAACAAACAAACAACTTAGTGAGGAATTTCGTGTGTCGAGCAAGGAAGATCTCCTTCATATATATTAGGACATTAAGTCCATTAACCCACGGAAATACGAAACAGTAGAATAGAAAATGAGCAAGAATTATTGATAAGCTAATATGGAATGACAAATGTGAATTACTTCATGTATTTTGTATAATTACACCGTGGATTTTTTAAGAGATTCTCGGTGTTTCTATAGCAACCTTTTGTAGATTTTCAAATTAGTTTGACACTGTGATAATTATATCAAAAGTTTTGAATATTGTTCACTGTCAGTTATTTCGAGTGAAGATCTTTAAACCACTCAGAAGTCATCTGGAATCATTCTCATACACAGATCTCTCCCCTAGTTATTATGAGCAATTAGCTAAGATTTGCGTAGAATTATTTGAACATTGTCAAGGAAGTCCTCACATAAGTCAGCTCTTTTTAATCGAGTCTCCGTGGCTGCTCTGAGTAATCAATGGAAGTTGCTAGAAAGTTTTTAAGCCTACGATAATTATGAATTTAGCTCAGTTGAATACATTCATTATTTAAGCGAAACTGAGATTAGATGACGAGCGTCTCATTGATCTTCACATCACAAAGAACAGCCCAATATAGAGGTCTATCTTTCGAGTGAGAAAAGTCGACGGTATTCATCAACATTGTCTCAACTCATTATCTGACTACAAAAAAACAGAAAAACAAGTTTTATTTCAAGTTCAGGAAAAAGGGAATTGACTGGCATTGTAAAGCAAGGGATAGACAGAGACAAATTGGTGCATTGGTCCTCACTTTTGACACCAATGACATTTCACTCCATTTTGTTTGCTTTTTTGATCGCTTCAAAAAACCCGCCATGATTATATTTGGTTGAGCGTCAGAACCTCCACGGGCTCATTCAACGAGTGGTAAATCAATGCCAGGTGACTCTCCAAGACCAAATCTTACACAGAATTTCTAGGCTCACCCTACGATACCATTACAAGGTAAATAACAAAAAATTCAATGGAAAAATTCTCTTAAATTCATTTTTCAATGCCTGACGTCAGAGCTTGACTACGATTTAAACCCCAAAAATTTTCCAGTCTATAAAATAGATCCTTGAAAATCATTTCAAGAGGCCCGTGGGGTCTTAAGGTATTTAAGAATTCTGAGGGGAAAATCTGATTAAAATCATAGCTAATATCGTAAGTAGATCAGCGAAAAAAAAAAAAAAAATCCGGTTCAACCCAAAACAAGGTAGGAAAATATACGATTATTTTAAAATGAAATATCTCGTGCTCTCTTTAAAAACGATATATTTGTGCTGATTTCTCAAGCTGAGAATAAATTTACACAAACCACTGTGACATGATATCTTACAAGCCCTTCACTTAACAGTATTTTAATCTCAGCAATGAAAATAATTTACTGGTGTATACGGTTATATAATATATTTTTTATCTTCAAATAACTTGATCGACTCTACAATAATTCCTAATCATGTCATAAGCCTTTAACAGTTTTCTTCAAAACCAAATGAAAATTCATCCTTCCAATTTCATTGGTTGCGGCAACGTCGAATACCTCAAAAAATCTCTATTATCTCTGCCGTGTTTATCAAAAAAAATGCCGATTTCTATGCCCAAGGGAGAATCTAGAGCCGAAGTTATTTTAGAGTTTTTGTTTGGTAATGAAAAAGGCAAAAGAAATGGATTTTGGATTGTTCTACGGAACAGCTTAGGATTAAGATAGTATTGTGTTTCCCGAACGTCGAAGGTTTTTCTTCTTACCAAATTTAATTCTAAAGGTAGTTATCAGAGGTTTTGATTCTGTCGCCAGATAAGGGATAGAGGAAGATGATTAGAAAAATCGGTAACTAAAAATAGCGTCCTCGCAATTTTTTTGGCCATTTATTTCAGTTAATCCCGCGCGTAAGATCAAACTTTGTCATTTTCTTTTCTTTGAGTTTTTTTTCTTCGACTGAGCCACCAAATTATTATCATTTTGGAATCCTCCCAAATATGTTTTAAAGCAACGGCTTGTTGTTTTTTGTTTTTTTCTTCAATACGGTTCTTTTTTATTTCGTTGTAAGTATTGCCTAAAGTTGGTTTGAACAGGAATAATTGGTATATCAAACAACACTGATTTTGATTAACAATGTTCACATCGATATCACGGTACTCAAACCACGATAATTAGCTACAAAAGAAGGGCTGTGCCGTGTGGGATCCGAAACAAAAACAGGAAGAAAGTTTAAACACGTACAAATGTTCAAAGGACGCGGTACATAACGAGGAGAATGGTTCAAGACGCGTAGCATATCTTGGCCGGATAAACCAACGTCATTTTTCGGGAAATCAAAGAATATAAACTTTTAGAACTTATTCATATTTTGTTTTTATTTATATATATATATCTATATCACGAAGTAAATATACTTTAAAATATACAAATGAGAATGAAATTTACAATTCGACTTTAAGTTAGCACGTGTGCAAAATTTCGAATTATTTCTAAATTACTCAACTTTGTGTTCCAAAATTTATAGCTCGTACAACAGAATCAAAATACGATTTATACGATATAAGGGGAGTTAATTTCTTATTTTACTCGGAATATATATACGATTTTTCATTCAGCAAAGTTAGGGTACCTGTGTGCAATTTAGGATCGCCGTAGTGTTGCTGAAGCATGCACTCAAAAGTTTATTACATACTCAAAGGTTGAGTACATCAACGATAAACTTTTCTTCTTTAGGAAAGAGAAACCACTTAATTAATTTCCTTTCAGAAATTAGACAGATCGACAGGACATCGTAAACTATCACGTATTTTTTCATCTTTTTTTTCTTTTCTGTGTTTCGTAAGTTTCAAAATATTAAGTTTGGAATCGTTATGTACCGTAGGCAATATACCCATCCAAATTTGTTAAGCGTTTTTCCAAGAGAATTTTTCTTGATATATTAACCGAAAATAAACACAATAAAAAAGATGCTACGAGTTTTTACTCAATTTCCTTTATATTTCATGTGATTTCAATAACAATTTTAATAGTTTGCAAATGTCATTAAGCAGCATTTGTGAATAATTGAGATTCGTGATTTCAAGTTTTCCAACGGATCATCAAAGTTATTTTCATCTGCATTCGATTCTATAATTTTCAGTTTTACGTCGATAATTCCTATCAAAAAAAGTTTGAAATTTTGACACAAGACTGAGTTCATAGAGCAAAAGTTTAACTGTTTGTTTGTTTTCTTTGAGGAGGTTATGTTTTAAAGTTTTGAAAGCATTTTAATGTATTTATTCATAGTTTGCTGCTAGTGCTCGGAAGGAAAAGCTTTTATTCAATTGTTACTGACGCCTAATGATGAAATCGACGGCCGTTCACGTGACATATAAATGTAATGAAAACTGAGCATTGAACACGTTCAATCTGTCTCATGCTGCGAGTATCTCTAGGATTTTTGCTTTGTTTTGACTTCAAAAGACGTAATTCACTAAAAATAAACTCCACGAAAAAACCCTGAAACGTTTGCACTAGAATAAAGCCAAAGAATCCTGAAATGACGCCAAGCTAATCCTCGAAAGGCACTCAAAATGAAACCAAATTAACACCTTACTAAGAGATTTCTGAAGTACAGAAGAAAAGAACAAAACATTGTTTCATTTTGTTGGATTATTCCTAAATACTCCATTATTTAATTAAAAAGATAGTCGGTGATTGGTTAACGAGAGGGCAAAGGTAATCTATAAAAACAAACAAATGTGCAGGAAATCTCCAAAAAAGATGTAACGAATTATACTCAGAAAAATCGCACGCTTGTTAGTTTGCCGCGTGAAAGAAAGAAAAGAAAAGAATCAAAGAAAACGCGATATTCACATGGTTGGCTCAAAAGCCCGCCTAAAGTCTAGAAGTCCTTTTTACTTTATTTTTACGTCGAATGTTTGCTTACAAAAGCCGCTTTTATTTGACAAAGTCATAAATATTATATTCATCGTTGGATTGGATGTCTGTTTTGTTTGAACTGGAAATTTCTAAGAACCTCTGGGGAAGGTTTTGTTAAAAGTGTAATGAGACTCTTAGAAACCTTGCTGGTGAAAAGACCACGACTACGTGCATGTAAAAGACATCAGGTGTCCTTGTGCAAATTGTATATTTTCGAGTCGACTAGATATCTGGAATTTTGATGATTGTCGTATGGAGATTTAAGGTATTTTAATGAATAGTTGGTGACTCTTAGGGTCTGTGAAGCACAAGTGTTTGTAGTATGTGCTAGATATCACACAAAAAAAAGCTCAAAACAAACCACAGTTGTTGCGAGATACCTGTTAAAAACTCTCAAGTGGTTCAATCTATATCAACCACTCTAAAGATAAATTGCCGATATTATCTACCGACTTTGAACCACGAAAACAGCTTTTTCAAACCAAGGAAAGTCATAGTTTCTTCAAATTAACTCAACTGGCTTTTATTAACTCTGCTTTTACGTACTCTCGCAAGGTTAAAAATATTAATAACTTATTATCTTCTGCACCACGATGGTATATATGACATTGTATTATTTAAAACACGTCTCGGTGAAGACTAATACTTAAATATTATGACATTCAATTTTAAAAATAGCAATTATTTTTCTTGCAGGCTTCATTTGCTGCCGATCGTTAGGGCACCGATGGTGAAAAACCATGCGAAACGGATATGACTCGACCTGAATCAATGACTATGGATTTTTGATATTCAAATTGACCGGCAAGCTATTGTGTACGGTTTCCTCGTTTTCCAAGGGCACAGACTTGAAGGAGATTGAAAAATGGCTACAACGGAAGGCCTAGAAGCCGCGACAGAAGAATTTCACATGGAACATCAAAAGAATGTCACGAACGGTTCTTTATTTTTAGACGAGGGAGGACATTACATGGTGCTCGAGCCACAGCCATTTCGCTGGGTTCTCAGACTAATTTTCATTTCAGTATTTCTTGTTGGTTCGGTGGGAAACTTAGTGGTTTGTTCGGCGATCCTTCGACGTAAGAGAATGCAGACAAGCAACAATATATTCACCTTTAACTTAGCAGTGTCAGATCTGATGATCGTCCTTATCTACCTCCCTTCACAAATGGCGGCTTTCGAGAATAATCATAATTGGCCATTTGGATACTTTGGCTGCCAGTTCGCTTACATAATCATACCAGTGTGTTTATCAGCCTCTATTGCGACATTACTAGCAATCACCAGCGATCGTTATCGAGCAATAGCGTATCCTATGAAGCCCAAACTCGGTGCGAAAAGCATAAGGTTAATACTACTTTCAATATGGGTGATCTCATTACTGGTGGCTTTGCCTTTGGTGTTTGTAGCAGGAACAGTGAGACCAGAGCCTGGTCAGGTCTATTGTGATGAGGAGTGGCCTAAACCCATTTATGGAGAAATCTACTGGATATCGATATTCGTGATTCAGTACATACTTCCATTGTGCATTATCTGGGTGCTTGCTGTGTTGATAGCTTTAAAGTTAAGAAGAAACTCTCTACAAATGATTGAAAGAACTTCGCATGTTCTCGCCGCTGCTTTTCGACAAAGAATGAAACAATCGTCCAAAATCACCAACATGCTCATTGCTCTTATTATTCTCTACGCCATCTGTATGTTACCTCAACATCTAGTCTACTTGTTTTCAATATACGGTGATCTCAGTAAGTTTAAATACAGAGTCTATGTTATCAGGTTCGCTAACGTATTTCCAATGGCCAACAGCGCGTTGAATCCCATCGCGTACGGGACCTTGAACAAGGAATTCAAAGCCGTTTTTAAGAATTTTTTTAAATGCGAGTGTCATAAAGACGTTCCTATGGAGGACTCGATCCATGGCCAAAGTCATTTTGATCGAGGACGTCGCTTGCGATTGGCTGTTTACAGACACGTGGATGATGATGGGAATACTGTTGTTAATAATTATGGGCACAACTGGCGAAGGAAGTCTAGCGCCGCTTCTTTGTTTGCTGGGCTGTTTCAACGTAGTAAAAGGGGTTCGGGTAGAGAAAGAAAGCACAGCCGAGAGTCAATGAGTAGAAATCGGAAGCAATCGAATCAAGAACACCACAAAACAAACGGCAATGTTAATAATAATCAATCTTCAAAGGTAGCAACGGATTCTATTATCGATCTCATGGACCACCAAGAAAAGAGCCCATCACCAAAAATAAGATTCCAAGAACCTAAAAAATACGAAATGGAAAGATTGATTCCAACGAGGATGAAAAAAGGCGAACGAATACTTGAAAACTCTTCTCGAGTGAAAAAAGTAGATGGGAAAAACTTTTGCCTGGTCGAGAAAGATAAACGACCAAATTTATGCAAAATGAAACGGTATGATGAAAATGATAGTGAGCTGAAGCAGTGTCTTCTCTGTAGTCAGTCCTCAACGGAGTCGAATGCAACACGTGAATCAGAACCTAAGCATGAACATCTACATCAAATCAACTCTTGTACAAGTCAGGAAGATTCTATTAATGTTTCGGGTTCACTAGAATGGGATCCAATGACCACAGCTCCGCCTTTGGTTCAGGAAGATAAAATGGCTTCCCACGCGAACCAGAATGATACTAATTGTACCCTTTCTCCTGATAGCCAAAGCTTTAGAAACCGTCAGAATGTTGACTTGGAGACTTGTTCTCCCCACGAACCAACAGAACTAAGCGCTTTTAACAAAACAAATAGCGGAATAAATAGCACAAACGAAACTTGCCGCCGGACGATGGACGACACTAGTGAAAATGAAAAACCTGATGTCACATCAAATCCTTCTGATCCTGCTAATAATTCAATCAATTCTGACAATGAATGGCTCACCCTTATAGAATCAGTTCAAGAAACGACAGTGTAAGTGCGATTTATACAGTAAAAACGTAGGGATATTTTTGACGCGAAAATTATAGTGCACACGCGTGAAAGAGTAAGAGGGTGGAAAAGCCATAACGACACGTGGGTAGAGGGGGGGGTGGGGTGGGGTGGGGTGGCAAAAAGAAACATAAAGACAATTCAAAAAAGATGAAGAAAAAAACAAGACAGACAGACAGAAAAAATCCAGACAGACAGACAGACGCTAATAAACAAAAAGACAGATAGACAGAAAAACATTCAAAAATAATAAAAAAAGTGTCACCATAATTAAGGAAAATCATGCTTGAACAAATATAGAACTGCATTATGCGAAAAAGCAACGCTAAAAGCGGCTCGAAATCAAAACTAGTATTGCATGTGTCCAAGAAATGATAAATATTCAGTCATCTAGGGAACTCCAATTACACGAATTATTTTCCAATTTAAAGTCCAAACGTAGAATGAGAAACGACCTAAACCGGAGTGTATTGTGGGGCCGAATTTGAGGCGGGAAAATAATCGTCATATTGCATGCTCAGATTCGTCAGCCATTCACGTTATAGCGTCATTTACTACCACTACCAAAATCCCTTGCACACTTTCTTTTCGTAGTGTAATACAGGATTTTTTCTTACTGATTTTTTTTTCATGACAGAATTTGTTATCCAAAATTCTAATACTCCAGTTTCAAGCTCTTTTTGCTCAGTCTTATACCCCATTCACACCTAAACGTGTTTAGTTAAACTATGTTTTCGTTAGGAATAAAATTGAGAAACTAGAAACCTACAATATAATGAAACTTTCTAAAATATTGTCAGAGCAAGACAAAGGATAGTTTACATGCATTATTTCACCAAATATTGTGCAGTGTTCGTAGATAGTTTTCCAAACCCGTTTAGTTAAACCACTTTAAAACATGTTAAGCCTTGGTGTGAATAGGGTATTAGTCTCAATTGTGCATTATAATATTCAGCTATTCAACCAAAACCCGTGGCATTTTAAACAACTCGTATTGTTTCGTAGTGATAGAACAGATTTGCACACAATCGAGGTTAAGACTGAGCAAAGGCGAACTCGAAATGAGAGTTTTTTAAGGAGTAGGTTAAATCATTGAAAACATGTTTTGTTTGTGAGCAGTTGGACCCAGAAATACGTCACAAACTAATCATAACGAAATTATTCTCTTAAGGAAATACAAATTTAAAAAATTCTCGAAGCGTTTTGGTAGTGCATGGTGTAGTAAAATGACGCCAAGTTGAACATTATGGTTATCTTGGTAGTCTCCTTTGCAGCTGTTCTTAGTGTCGGTCCGGAAAAAAAAGCGTTCCGGACCGACACTAAAAACGGCTGCTGAGGAGACTAACATATTAGTCTTCCTTTGTACTTTTGAGAGGCTTTCATAAAGTCTGGGGGATGTTAAAGTGCAGACACACGGTGCAACATTGCACGCAACAAATTTGAACCGGGGTTACACACGTTGCAACAAAATCAAGCAACATCGCTTGTGTCAGCGCGCTATGCTAAGAAGCTGATTGGTTCGAAATTCCAAAATGTTGCACGCAATGTTGCAGCCATGTTCACACGATGAAATTTGTTGCGCGCAATGTTGCAAGAGTAGAGCGCGATTGAGCTTCAGATTCGTTGCATGCGATGCTGCGCGCAACATGTTTCAGGGGTAGACACGCTGCAACAGTCCTGTTGTATGCAATGTTGCACCGTGTGTCTTAAGCTTTAGTTTAGCCAGGTACATAGATCAGTTACTATGCATGTTATCTGAGAAAAGCAATGTTTAGTTATTTTGTAAAGTTATCATTTGATCTGGAAAATGTGTATAAAATAATGAATTTAAAAAAACGAACATTTAGAGTTTTTGGGAAATGTACTCAAACTTCTTGATCTTCGTTTATTATTTATTCGTTATTTAACGAAGGGGGGAGGGGGAGGGTGAGCAAATGAGTGGCCTTGAAATTTTAGTGACCCTGTGAAAATGGGATCCCATTTGAATTCATTGAAGAGTTTTTTATAGGAGAGCCATTCGAAATGTTGGACATAAACAGAGGGTCCAAAACAAATTGGGTAAACTAATGGAGGCTGGCAAAAACAAAATATTTGTCTGCTATTTTCTTACCATATCCCACCCACTCCCCCCGATACATAATGAACGGTCCCTTAGTATAATGATTGTGTGGAAGGGAAAGTGGGAAAGAGATAACAATAGCCCCTCCCATACTGTTTGATCATAGTATTTGCCCTGTACACCCCAAATATAAAGGGTAGCATTTCGGTATAGCGTTAGAAATTTACCGAATTCAACTCAAATAGACCTCGTCCTCGTCCTCGTCCTCGTCCTCGTCATCTTTTAGCATGACTAGCTCTTCTCTGATTGGTGGTAGGGTTTTTCATACCACCCGATGATACACTGTCTGATGTGTGTATCGTCAGTAGGGGCCTGGACATTTCATTCTTGTTACATCATCATCGTCATCATCATCATCCTCATCATCTTTTAGCATGACTAGCTCTTCTCTGATTGGTGGTAGGGTTTTTCATACCACCCGATGATACACTGCCTGATGTATGTATCGTCAGTAGGGGCCTGGACATTTCATTCTTGTTACATCATCATCGTCATCATCATCATCGTCATCATCCTCATCCTCATCATCTTTTAGCATAACTAGCTCTTCTCTGATTGGTGGTAGGGTTTTTCATGCCACCCGATGATACACTGCCTGATGTGTGTATCGTCAGTAGGGGCCTGGACATTTTATTCTTGTTACATTGTCATCATCATCATCATCATCATCATCATCATCTTTTAGCATGACTAGCTCTTCTCTGTTTCGTGGTAGGGTTTTTCAAACCACCCGATGATACACTGCCTGATGTATTTACTGTAAGTAGAGGTCTGGACATTTTATTCTTGCTACCTTGTCTGCCATGCTTTGATTGACGTCCATTGAGCTCTAAACTGCCAAGGCTCGGAATTCTTGACAGACTTTCTACAACGCAACAGTGAGAAGCCATTTGATTCGTTTAATTTTCATATAGAAGTATGTTTAGGAATAGACCTGTTTGATTTCCTTGGGCGTTATGTTTTCCCATTTCGGACACGTGTCATTTTCTAGATTATCATTTCTATGTTTAGCAGTTGTGCATGAGAAGACACACGATAATGAATAATGATGCCCAAAATAAGTGAGTATATATCTCACCCAGAAAGTCGCCGGTTATGTAGTCCTTATCCTTAAGTAAAGGTGTGTATGTTGGTCGGTCGTTCCCTTCTAATTCTGCAAAGCAATAAATGAGAAATCACTCTTTTATGTTTAGATATCGCAAAAATATTCAATGAGGGAATCTATAATGAATTCGCAGAAAATAATGTTCAGATTACGTTGTTTGCGCAGTCATTCAAGTGCACTAGTACTGATGAAAGGAGAAGAGAGATTGGCCCTCCATTCTATTCTACTTCCCCAGGCTCGATGCCTACCTTGTTACTTTCCGGTAGGCACACGCGTTTTGGTGCGGAATTTCCCGCAAAATACACAGGTAGCCCAACCAAATAGGAAAAACTAAAGATTCACGAGTTTTAGCCAAACTTTTGGTAGGGCTGTGACCCTCTTGTGACCCTTCACAGGTAGGTCGACCAAATGGGAAAAAAGAAAAATTCACGATTTTTAGTTAATCTTTTGGAAGGACGGTGACCCTTGTTCTCCCTTGCCACGCCCCTGTTGCTTGCCCTTGAGCTACTTGCAGGTTGTGCCGAAGTCAGTATGCAGTTCATGGTTCTGACTCAGACAATAGCGAAACAATCACCTTTGCAGAAATTTTCCCAGTATGATTAAAATCTTGTCCTGCAAACAACTATACAGTATCTATTTTAAAGAATACTACAAGTACGAGGCATTTTCACAGGACATGAAACAATCGATACACGATGATCATTTTTCCACGATCATGGTTTTGCATTCCAAGGTAATCTAGCTAACTTGTCGAATTTGTGGGACATAGCAACGGTAACTAAGATGCATGAATGACACTCAAAACGTTTAGTGGAACCTGCGGGAATGATTGGCCTGAAAGATCAACCTAACTCTAAGTGTTTTATTGCGAGTTGAAAACAAAAGTTTGGCAAGTGAACTTACTTTCCACTTTGACGAGTATGAATGTTTCTCTCTCCTTGAGGAAGTCACTGGCGTTTGACTTCTGGTTGTCAATCAAGCACCTCACAGAACCATGAATATCAGACAAATCAACTAGATCTATTCAAATTGAAAAGCAAGAAATCTAAAAAACATTTTTTTTAATGAAGAAAATTTTCTGAGCTGTACGGGAATAAAGGGTGGGGTAGATGTATAGTGAACCGCGGGGGTTCCATTCTTGGACTCGGCATCACATGTGAGTAGAGTTTGTTTAAAAAGTCTCTCGGGTTTTCCTCCCCTTAGCAAAACCCAACACCCTGATTTTGATCAGCCCAGAGGTTGTTACAGGGTTCGATCTGTGAGTTAGCCATGCCCTGGATTTAATCAGCCCGGCCAGAGATTGTTTCCGGGTTCAATCTGTGACTCTTACTAGCCATGCCATGAATTTGATCATCCCAGAGCTTGTTTTAGGATATTTGACAAAGCTTAAATATTTTGAAGGTTTGAGGGGGAGAGGTAGTTAAACAAAGAGGTGATACAATATACCTTCATGTATCTTCTCACTTGCGTTTACAAAAGGTAACCCAATTCTGATGATATAAATAAAAATTCACCACAGGAGCCCCATAAAGATATTACAGATCGACATCATGTTTTTGCATATAGTACAAACCTTCCTGTGTGCATCTGCATCTTCTTTTGATGTCTTCAAGAAGATGAATAATTTGACAGTTAGCATTGAACAAGGCTTCTTCACAATCTGCTGAAAACCACGAAAAGTTTGTTCGATAAAATGATTTCTAGTTCTTTAATAAAATCTTTGACTCCAATGAAAGAAACTTCCTCTCTCCATTTTCATGTGATCTATATTACAAATACTTTAATACTGACTTAAACAACCAATTAGTTTACCATTTTTATGTTAAGTGAGTCAACACAACCCCACTGAGGTTTTGGATCTAGTGAATCAAAGATAGTAAAATATTCTCATTGAATACTCATTATCACGTCGCAGTAATCACCCACACTTCCCCTAACACCCTATATCCATTACTCAAAAAACTCAACCTAATACTCTTGCCCACATCCACTACTCAAAACCCCGTACCCATTAACCCGTACTCAAAACTCCAATGCTCCATATTTTTGGGTCAATGTTTAGTAATCTTAAATACTTGAAAATTTAAAGGATAAGCAAACCAGCCATAATGTCTGGACTTATACAATTTGTCATTCTGGTTTGCAAATGCAATCACAAAATGCCTCTGATACTCTGATACTCAATTGTAATTTTGCAAAGAAGTTGCAAAACTCCATTGAAAGACTCAGAACTTCCAAACGCATATTCCAAACGTATTTTCTTTGAGCATCAGAAATCATTTTCGTACGATTTCGCGGATAAAGTAACTAAGATTGAAAGCCAAACAAACACATTATAGCTAATTAGGTTCAGAAATTCGAAACTAAATTATCAAGTGGCTATCGTACCTCCAAACTTGACTGTAATAAACATAGCGGCTTATTCAAATTTGTGGAGTTGAATTCAGTCCAATATAATATCGACAATTCAAGAGTGAATCAGTCAAAGAGAGTACAATATAGAAGATTCTTCGTTCACGCAACGAGCCAACACAGGTATGTGTATATATTTGCATAAGAAATAGCTTTCAAAGCAGATAATACAGTCAAGTCTCTTTTCATTAGTGGAGCGACACAAAAGATTTTGACGTTTTCAGTGACACTGCAAAATTTGCTGATAACATTAGTAACTTATTAAAGTTCAGACGAGACTCAAAGCATGTCATTGCGCATGTTAAGGCTATTAATAAGATCGTAAATTCATACAAACTCTTTACTAATTTAAAAGTTTAGAAAAAAAGAAAAAAAAAAAAAATGAAGCCCTAATCCTTTAATGCGATAAGAAAACTAAAACGAAAAAATGAATTGCCAAAACCCGGAATTGTTCAATAGAGTTCCTACGAACTCTTCGGATTTGAACCAGGGACCTTCAGATCTTCAGTCTGACGCTCTCCCAACTGAGCTATTTCTGCAAATGTGCAATTATTGAGTTTTTCTGAGATGGTCGGCGTTGTTTGGCGGTCTGTGGTCATTTTATTGCGAGGAGAATGAAGCGTGTTATCAAAAGGAAAATGTTTGTTTTTATCAACGTTTTAGTTTTGAAAAATAAAAAAGGTTTTTATAAAGTATGTTGTATGGGAATGTAATCACACAGGGAGTGACAAAGGTAACGCATATATGGCCATGGCTTTGTGGCATTTGATGGCTTCTAAAGAAGCCGTTGTTAGATTGAATATTTGTAGAGTGTTTAAGCTCTCTCTCCACGGATTCGGCGAGCAAGCATCATGTCCTTGGGCATGATGGTGACTCTCTTGGCGTGAATGGCGCACAAGTTGGTGTCTTCAAACAGACCAACCAAGTAAGCTTCACTAGCCTCCTGAAGGGCCATCACAGCCGAGCTCTGGAATCGGAGATCTGTCTTGAAGTCCTGAGCGATCTCACGGACAAGACGCTGAAAGGGCAGCTTGCGGATCAACAGTTCGGTTGATTTCTGGTAACGACGGATCTCACGAAGTGCAACGGTACCGGGCCTGTAACGATGAGGCTTCTTGACTCCACCAGTTGCTGGGGCACTCTTACGTGCTGCCTTGGTGGCCAGCTGTTTTCTGGGAGCTTTTCCTCCTGTAGATTTTCGTGCGGTTTGCTTAGTACGAGCCATTTCAGTATGTTCTTGATTTCTCGAGTATATCTTTTTTGATAACAACCAAGATCTTATACCAGTCGCCAAATAATTTGATTGGCTACAACCGACTGACACCGTGATTGGCTGATCGTGCAATACTTTTCTTTTGTCTACTAGACACACCGCTTTAACACCGCTGAAACTTGAATATTTTGAGCCAAAACAAATTCGTTCACCAAGAATTTGTATATATAAGAATTCTTTCTTTAGACGAAATTTGGAACCCACAAATCGAGAAGTTTGAGACAAAGTATAGATGTTTGATACTAAAAATGATTATTTTGTCTACAAAAGACATCCGTTTTGGTGTCCGAATCGAACAAGCAGTACTAGCCTTACATACTTTAATTCATGATAATCTTTTTTTTTTTTCATATTCAATATTCCTTTACACGATTTTTCCCTAAGAGGTTCGTTTTCTTGATATTTAGGGAAAGAATTTCGGTGTCAATCAATAAGCCTGAAGCGAGATGACGTTTTACCCCCGTCTCTAGACCATAATCCTTTTCACACTGCTTTTGTTCTTTAATTATGACTATTGTTCCTGTATTCTCTAAGGAATCAAAAATTTTAATATGAAAAAATTTTGAAAACTATTATGGTATAGAGTCGGGGGTAAAACGTCATCTCGCTTCAGGCTTATTCATCATCGGAAGTCTAAAGAGCTAAATATGTCTGGTCGTGGTAAAGGAGGAAAAGGCCTTGGAAAGGGAGGCGCCAAACGTCATCGTAAGATCCTTCGGGACAACAT